ATAATCTGCCCCAGTGGCGCCAGCTATGCGACCAGAGCGAACACCAGCCTCCGGCTAGACGTGGTGAGCGACGCGCCAATGCCGAGAAGCCTAAAGCACGAACTCGAGCTGCGACCGCAACTGTGGCTAAACCTTCCGATCCTTCGACCCCTAAGAAGAGAGGTAGGGGGCGACCTGCCAAGCGAGGAGGCAGAGGGAGGCGGCTCAAGCAAGAACAGGCGGATGATAATGAAGACCGGCCCATGACTCCGGTCTCACCCAAACCAGAGGTTGTCGAGACTGATGACAAACCTGTCGAGTCAGTAGAGAAGGACCCAGGTGAAGAGGTTGAGGAAGATTATGAACCTACTGTTGGTCGCATGGGTGGCCTTCGACAGGCAAGAACCAAGACACAAACAGTCTCGGCCCGTCGCAAATACAGTCGCCGAGAGGGATCCGCTATGATCGACGAAGCTGCCTTTAAAGACTGGGATTACAAGATGGACATATCCGAGTATACCCCCGAGCGCTGTGAGGAGCTTGAGAGGGCTTACTGGAAGACTCTCACCTACGCACCTCCCCTCTACGGCGCTGATCTGATGGGTACGCTTTTTGACGAATCGACCGAACAGTGGAATTTGAACAAGCTGCCTAATCTTTTGGATGTCTTGGGTGAAAAGGTCCCAGGAGTCAACACCGCTTATCTCTACCTTGGCATGTGGAAAGCAACTTTTGCTTGGCACCTTGAAGATGTTGATCTTTACAGTATTAACTACCTTCACTTTGGTGCTCCCAAGCAGTGGTATAGTATCTCCCAAGCCGATGCCCGCCGGTTCGAGGCTGCGATGAAGAACATCTGGCCTACAGATGCGAAGGCCTGTGACCAGTTCCTTCGCCACAAAGGATTCCTCATCTCGCCTCAGCATTTAAAATCGCATTATAACATCACTGTCAACAAATGTGTATCTTATCCTGGAGAGTTCGTTGTGACCTATCCATATGGATACCATTCTGGCTACAACCTGGGCTACAACTGTGCCGAAGCTGTCAATTTTGCACTCGATTCTTGGTTAGACATCGGCAAAATCGCCAAAAAGTGCGAGTGCGCTGAAGCGCAAGACAGTGTCTGGATTAATGTCTACGACATCGAGCGCAAGTTACGTGGAGAAGAAACAGAATATGAAGAAACCGAGGACGAAGAGGAAGATGACGAAGATGAACAAGGTGGCATGCCCACACCACCTTCTGGCTCTGGTGTCAAGTTCAGACTGGCTGGCCGTAAGCGAAAGCGTGTACCTGGCGAGAAGGGAGGCAAGGTCAAGAAGATCAGACTTCGTCTCAAATCGAAAGCCGAACCACCCTGCTGCCTCTGCCCTAACGACACTCCGTCGGCCGATCTATTGCCCACAGATGATGGTCGAAAAGCTCATCGACTTTGCGCGCATTATCTGCCAGAGACGTATACTGAAACAATCGATGGACAAGAGACAGTTGTCAACGTGTCTAAAATCCACAAAGATCGATTCGAACTCAAGTGTCTCTATTGCCGCTCTAAGCAAGGCGCTTGCTTCCAATGCTCCCAAAAGAGATGCGCCCGGGCTTATCATGCAACATGCGCGGCCGCAGCTGGTGTTTTCGTCGAAGAAGAAGAGATCCCAGTTTTCGGCGAAGATGGCACAGAATATAAGGAGCAGGCCTTTGAGTTCAGTTGTCGATACCATCGGACGAAGCGAGATAAGAAGCTTGATGGAGATGCGTTGGACACTGACTCACGAGTTCGGACGGCAGCTTCAAAGCTTCAGCCTGGCGAGACCTGCCAGTTGCAGTATTTCAAGGGAGACATCTTCGCTGGTGTTGTGGTTGAAAACCGGCACGATGAGCAAACCTTGCTTATCGACATCTTGCCAAATGGGTATGCTCGAATCCATCAGAAACTCGATCTCGTCAAATCTAAACTAACCGCTTGCAGTGACCGCCTTGAAGTCGAATGGAAATGGCTACTGGTACCCGATCCAGCCGACTATCGTCTGCCAAAGGCATCAGCAAAGGCCATTCCGATGCCCGCGTCCCAGAAGGCCAAGGAGAAGCTCAAAACAAAACGACTTCATGACGGCAAGCCCCAGAAGGACGATCCGTTCATTGAAGGTTGTACTTGGGCCGAATTCAACTGCCACCCTGTTGCAAACAAAGAACAAGTCAAGATCGATTTCTGCAAACCCGACCAAATTTGGTATTACTTGCCTAAGAAATCGACAGAAGCCCGCGCCCAATTCACCGAGGATCCTCGCAACCAACGTCATAATCCCAGGGGGAATTTCCTATCGACAGTTCCCAAACCCGTCAAACCTGCAAGGCCGGTTCCAGCATATCCTCCCCGACAAGCCTACCAGCCCTCCATCCCTTATCCTGCAGCGCGACTTGATAAGCCATATATGTACAAGCCACGAACCCCTGCTACTAACAACTACCCTGCGATGGGCAATTTCACCACTCAAAGATTCACACCAGCTGCCCCTTCGCCCGTTCCAGTCCAGCAACAGCCCGGGAACTATCGGTACCCGTATGCACACCCTATACCTGCAGGACAACAAGCGGCTCCCGCCTACTCTGCGCAGAGGTTTGAGGTTAGGCAATCGCCCGCATATACACCTCCCGGAAACACACCCATGGTACAGAGTCCTGCGAACACATTGCCACATTATCAGCAGAACCAGTGGCACGGAAGACATACCTCTGCCCTTCCTGCACCTACCCCTAGTCAATCTGGAGTAGCTCATTCCTATCCGCAACCATATCAGGCTCCGGCACCTGTAAACCACCACCAGGTACCGCAAGCAAGAGTGGCTTTGCAGGCAGATGTATCTATATTCCAAAAGTATCCCTTTTTCCAGGTCAACCACAACAGGTACGTATTATCGACTCAACAAATTCGTCCTTCACTAACCTCCATAGGGACTCGACTAAGTACCGGACGCCATATGCTCCTTGGGGAGGCTTCACCAACGGGTACGAGGGCAATTTCAGGGCTCATATTATGGCCAACAAGGATGCATATCTCAACGCCACAATCAAGGATAATAGATTCCAGGGCAATCAGAATTTCGGCGCTTACCAGCCTCAACAACACTATCCTCCGGGGCATGGCCACCGTGCGTCTTCTGTAAGCCAGCCTCGGATTAGCCAACAACCGAACTTGAAGCAAGTGCCCACGTCATCTCCAGGAACTGGCACCTCTAGCTTCAGCCAGTTTCCTCGGCCTGCGATAAAACAACAGTATTTGCCCCCTATGCATGTGCAAACGCATGCACCAATACAAGCACAAGGACAGGCACCAATACAGCCCCAGGTGCAGCCCCAAACGCAGCCGCATAAGTCGACTCCGAAGCCCCAAGAGAGGCTTCCGCAGAAGCCTCCACAGAAGGCTGAAGAAAAGCCTCACCAGAAGTCCCCACAGACCACTCAGCCCCCTAACCAAAGTAGTAAACCCAAAATTGGGACGATTTTCAAGGAATACAAGGTAAGTACCTGGAAATCTCGATAGGAATGAAGGGTCGGCTGAACAGCCCATCCAGATACCCCCGAAAGAGTCGCCAGTACCATTGCCTGCAAACTTTTTGGCTTCGATGGCGCCTACATCTAAGACCCCTGCTCCTGTTGCCGCCAGAAAGCCAATCTTGCAACAAGCCGAGAGCAAAGGCTCGCCTTCTACGCCCAAGGCTGCAAAGCCGATTCGGGCATCTCAGCAGACATTTTCGAATAGGCAACCTATGGACAATCAAAAACTTGGGACCAAGGTTTCCAAGACCCCCATTCCAATTCCGCGATTGCCAAGCGTTGCTCAGATCTCTTCGCAAGGTTCAGCCCCAGCCCCAACACAACAGCAGGGTGCTTCACCTTCCCGGGATAGCAAGTTGACATCTACGGATTCAAACTTGGTACACGCGACCGATACAACGGTGCCGGCGACGAGCACCTCTTCCGGACAACAAGATTTTGCGGACGTTCCTGGAGGTGAATCGATGGAATTTATGGACCGACTTATGGCGAGCATACGTACAATAGCCCGTCGCGACGACGCAGTCTGAGCTGCCACCGACACAAGCAGCTGTAGACTATGTATCCGAATACCCTCTTCAATTTTAGCAACTACCTTTGGAACCATGGGAAGGCGTTTATGGATTTCAGTGTTTATGGTATGGTATGCATTAGGCAAATGGGAGTTGGGGGACATGGAGTGAGATACGCATATGACGATCAGGTAAAGACGCATGACGAAGGGAAGTGTGTTTATGTAGTATCAGGTGCACGACCGGCGCCCTCAGAGACGCCCGAAAGTCAACGGAGTTTCAATGATTCAGAAGTCAAAATGCCAATGCAGTAATACGCGAAGTAAAGCAAAAGACGCTGGTGATGTAAACAAGACAAAGCGTTTGTTATCAACATGACACAATATAAGTCATCATATACGCCAAAATAAACCACAATAACCTTAATATTGAGTCTCAGCTGATGACACAGTTGCTGCCTTGAGCCTTGAGACTCAACTGAACGAGTGGCCTCAAGTCACGAGGAGTCCCTCTATACCTCCCTAAGTAGACACGGAGTTTGATAAGCAAAGGTCTCATCCGAAGCTGTTTCTAGGAAAGAGTTCTCTCACCCTTTTGCAACCTCATACATAGGTACCTACTTACTTTAGGTCAAGAGGACCCTAAGAGACAAAAAGGTTTAGGTAAGTTAGCATGAGCTCAGCTTGCCCTTTGTCGAGTTTAATTAAAATCAGAAAGTCGCTCTTACCTCGGTGACCAAAATCACATACCTTATGACCTGGACTCCCCTCACTCGGGTACCTTGGGTTCCAAACAAATCCAATCATTACCAAACTCTTCACTTAAATCACCTTATCAATACAAATACCAATAGCTCATCGTCAACGGCAAGTCTCTGAGCTCTCTTTTGAATTTTGAACCAACGAGTCTTCCACTTGCAGCCCACTCGAGCCGGCTTCCGAGGAAACGACCAAAATGGTTTCCCAGCTTGTACGCTACGGTATCAACGCAGCCATAATAGCGTTTGTCTGGCAAGCCCGTGAGTCTTACCGTGTCTATAGTGTCGACTCCATTCAGTCTAACCTTTCAGTTGTCCATCCGGATGGTCCTGATCTCCCAGTTATGACGATTTTCTGGGAAGGCCTCTTCTTGGCAAACCTGGCTCTCGCGGTCACGTTCAGGGGTGCGTATTTCAGGCTCATCAGGAACAATCTTCGACATTTGCTTGCTTAGCTGGCATGGCTGGGAGGTCGCTTTGTGGCGCGAGCCAGGGGTACGAAATTATGCCGATTCCACCGATTGTGAGAGAAGTAATAATCAGCGAAAGATATGGAAGGCATAAAAGCAGGGAAATTCAGCATAGATCTTGGGTATGCATTAGCGAACTCATCTTAAATTGAAGCGAATCAACCTCTCTATGACTTGATGATGTGCTCTTGTCCAATGAAAAATAGTCCCGGTTAGGCGTGCTAGGTGTGCGATTTGGGTTGTCACTCAAGGGGGGGAAGCAAGCTCGATTTCTTGATCCTAGATGATAAAAAAGACTTAGGTAATTTAGTATAAGTTTAGGATATCTTTAGGATACATTTTGATGAGTTTATTTTGACACCCCACGTCAAGGTCTGATGTTTTGCTCCCTGAGGTCACTTGAGATATTGATCAGCGCAAGGCTTGTATTGGATTTCTGTGTAAGGGAACAATGGCACTGTATCGCTTTAACATGCACTAAGACTCGATTATATAATTCAAAGGCTAAGTGAAGTTGTTTACTTCATGGTACGGTGGCAGTTCTCAAGGCATAAACGAGATCTATTGGTTGTTCTTGCAGTGGCAGGCAATGAACAGTTGACACTGTCCTCTCATCTCTGAGACGCACAACCACTGGCAGCGGTTACACTACATTGTGGTCCGAAAATTGATACATTCCTTTCTTCTATATGGCCTTGCCAACTTGCTTCCCTTCCCTTTCTTCACCATCACCTTCTAACCTTTCCAACCCTTCCAACCTTCAAAACTATCAAGGCTCGTGTGAAATACAACAACATCATTCACTATGAGCATCACCGCTTGGACCGACGAGGACGTTCGAGCATCCCTCGTACCCCAGAATGAGTTCCCAACTTGCTCCTATCGTCGTGGAACTCGACTAGGACGAGGCGCGTGTGCCACCGTCTACAAAGTCCTGAACGTCAAAACCGGAAGCCTGTTCGCCGGCAAGGTCTCTCCTGAGAATTACGATCACCTACGAGAGGAAGCCAGAAACTTGACTAGATTGAATCATGTAAGCCTTGACGTATTGCGGTGTTGAATATCATAACTGACCATGTATTTATGTAGCCCCAAATTGTCAAGTTCGTCGAATACTGTGAGGACAAGCATAACCCAGCCGCCAATGTCCTCGTCATGGAGCTCTGTGCTGGGGGCAGTCTTCAAGACAGAATTCATGACAACCCCGGAGGCCTCAAAGGTGAAGAGACCTTGCAAGTCATGCTCCAGGCTGGGCAGGCCGTGGAGTATCTGCATGTGAAAGGGCTTTTTCACACAGATGTTAAGCCTCGCAACATCATGATTCGATCATGGTCTCCAGTCGATGTTGTCCTCGGCGACTGTGCTGAGGTTATGAAGGTCCAACATATTGACCCACGGAAACGACCGTACGGAACCCGGTCCTACTGGTCGCCATACATGGAGAGGTACGGCAGAAATTCCGGGAAGAGCGACGACATCTGGGCACTCGGGATCTCACTTCTCGGGATGATGGCCCAGTGGCCTCGCTGTCTGTTGAAGCAAGAAAAGCAATATCCCAGAAAGTGCTCCAACCACGCACATGAGTTGCATAAGCGAAATCATGGCGATGACCGTTTGCAGATCCTGCTGCGCCTGCTGGAGTGGGATCATAACAAGCGGATCACCGCTTCCGAGCTGGTGAAGCTGGTGACTGAGCGTCTGGAGGCCGGACCTTACTTTGTCGAGGAGCTGAAGTCTCCTGAGGGCTTCCAGCCTTTGGTGTTTTGGTAGAGAAAGCTGTCTTGTCTTTTGCGGGGTCATCTGCCGTCGAGTTGAAGTAAGAGTTCATTGATGGGAAATGTTAGAGCAACATGACAGAGATTGAATATGGACAGAGAGAACAGCGAATGTAACTACGGAGTAGTGCATGATGAGACTTGTATAGCAGGGTGTTCTCGCACTTGGTGATATCTTAACTCAATAAAGTCATTTACATAAAGCACCTAATTTACATGTGGTGTTGGCGACAGCGACGAGTTGTTCGCTGAAGACGTTCCAGTTGCTCATTAAGCATTATCGGCATCAGAACTATGAGCCGTATATAAGTCAACCGTTGTCACGGAGTCTCACGTCGTGCTTTTCCGACTGATAGTATAGCGCTCCGGTCTCGCTATCTGAAGAAGAGATTCAGAACGGACAGTGAGGGATAGAGGAGCTTATCGTCGGAACAAAGCCGATGCATTCTACAGCAGCATCAGCATCAAGTGCCGGACACAACCTTGCATCGAGTTATCGAGCCAATCCTGATAAACCAATTTCAGTGCTCATCATTGGAGCTAATGACGCGATTAGTAGGAGAATTAAACCCCCGCAATAGTTATTAGTCATCACTTATCGCTCCCGGTTACGGCGATGTCGCAACCGTTGAGACACGAGCTACTTGTGGAGAGAAAGACTGCCATTGATCCAATTATCACGGCGTGGTTCCTCTCATTGGGAGAATTGTTCGTGAGTATCTCTACTACAGTACAGTTGTCGAAGAATCTGACTAATACTGGAAAAGGACCCTTTTGTCGCTGTTGATGTTGCGCTCCATATTAAGCCCGAGCCGCCCCTCCCAATCCGTGCTCCGGACTACACTCCGAAGCATTATCCCTCTTCACTCATCAAGATCATTCTCAAGCAGTGTCAGCGTCATGAGTAACCAGACGCAAAAGCTCAAGCCCGCGGCTCGAGTCCAGGGCCAGAAGAAGGATGTTTGGTAGGTTTCGTACAAATCCTGTCAGAAACAACGATAACTAACTCGGCCGAAATAGGTCCATGATCAATGAGGCCGCTGCGTCTTCACCTATCCAGCCTATTGTGAACTTGGGTCAGGGGTTCTTTGGCTACAACCCTCCTGACTTCATTCTTAACGCTGCCAAGGAGGCTTTGGATCGTGTTGAGTGCAATCAATATGCGCCTGCTAAGGGACGACCGCGGTTGAGGAAAGCCCTTGCGGATGCGTACTCACCATTCTGGAGGCGTCAGTTGGACCCTGAGACTGATATTATCATCACAACTGGTGCTAATGAGGGTATGCTGAGTGCGTTCATGGGTTTTATTGAACCTGGCGACGAGGTCATCGTGTTTGAGCCTTTCTTTGATCAGTCAGTGCCTTTATTTCGTGTATTAAATACTGAGCTAACATTGGTGTAGATACATTAGCAACATTCAAATGCCCGGAGGCAAGGTCGTCTATGTTCCCCTTCATCCTCCCGAGACAGGAGCCACAAAGAACTCTTCTGCTGCAGACTGGACAATTGACTTTGACGAGCTCGAGAAGGCCTTCACACCCCGCACCAAGATGATTGTCATCAACACTCCCCGTGAGTATCACGAGCTTCCCGCTTATATCAGCGCTGACCCCCTGTAGACAACCCTGTAGGAAAGGTCTTTCACAAGGACGAGTTACAAAAGATTGCCGATCTGGCTGTCAAGCACCAGACTATCATTCTCTCAGATGAGGTTTATGACCGTCTTTTCTACGTGCCGTTTACGCGAATTGCCAACCTTTCTCCCGAGGTGGAGAAGCTCACTCTCACTGTTGGATCTGCTGGCAAGAACTTTTATGCCACCGGCTGGCGTATCGGTATGTGAAGAGTCTGTTGCCGAGATATGTCATTTTGCTAATACTTTACAGGCTGGCTGATTGGTCCCCCAGAGCTGATCCAGCCCGTCACTGCCGCTCACACCCGCATCTGCTTCTCAACACCCGCCCCCTTTCAAGAAGCCGCCGCCATTGGTTTCGAGCAAGCTGACAAGAATGGTTTCTGGGATGAGACCATCAAGGAGATGAAGGCAAAGGTCGACCGTCTCAACGAGGTATTCGAGGAACTCAACCTACCCGTGACATACCCCGAAGGCGGCTACTTCCTGCTTGTCAACATGGCCAAGGTCAAGCTACCAGAGGACTACCCCTTTCCTCCTCACGTCGCAAGCCGGCCTCGAGATTTCAAGCTGGCGTGGTTCCTCATCCAGGAGATTGGTGTTGCGGCTATTCCTCCTACGGAATTTTATACTCCGAACAATGCGCACTTGGCGGAGGATTATATCCGATTTGCTGTGTGTAAGAATGATGATATCTTGGAGCAGGCTAAGGAGAGGCTGAGGGGGCTGAAGAAGTACATTCAAGAGTAGAGCGTGTTAGAAGGAAAGAAAGTAAAGAGTCGGAGCGTTAGATTAGACGGGCTTCGTAGATCTCATACTTGTTCTGCAGGTCCCATAGTGCAGTTGGTTTGTATCTCAGTGCCTCCTAGTATGTGCATGAGTCTGTGAGATAGACGATAACCAGGGTGTGAGGAATTCTCTGGTTGGTCAAGCCTTTCTATCACTATCTGGATCCCTGCTGCTATGTCTTCGAGTCCGATGGAGACTACAAGAACTACAGTATTTCTCTAGATTTATCCTGCAGCTGCTACATTCATAGTTCACCGCTATATGCAGAATATCTACAGTCTTGTCTCTGAACTCCGATGTCAAAGTGGAGGATCCCGACCGTGGAACTGGCCTATCGTGGTCGCGGAGCCGGCCGTTAGCGAGCTGCATCGTGGGGTAGAGGCTCTCTTCCCCGCACAAGCAACAGAGGGAACAAGCACTGAGTGGCTGCTGTAGCTGAGAGCGGGGGTGCAAATCTTGGGCTTATCAGTGGCGATGAGTTAACCTTGACACGTCCTAAACAGAAACAATCCGTCCTCTCATTCGTTCACTGTTTGGCTATCACGGGTATCTCGTTAGGAAGAGGAAGGTGCCGTTGCACAAGGTCCAATTGCCTTTTGTCAATATGACGCAGGGAAGATTCTCAACTTGAACCCGCTGTCTAACCGTTGCCGGCCACGCCTCGTGAACCTGAGCCCTCTATCCCTTCTACAGCAACTGTACAACGCCTCGGTTCGTTTGTTGATAAGAGCCACAGAGGCCCCGTTGTCTTTTCTATCCTTTCCCTTTTGACCCTTGGACTCTTCTTCTCTTCCCAACAACCATTCAAGATACCCATTCCTTTGATTCATCGCTATCATGGCGCCTAGCGCTGTATCTCCCACAAGGGAGTCCAACCCTGAGCCCTTGGCAACCCTAACCTCTAAATTCGATGATACCCTTCGATTCTATCTCAACGGAACCAAAGTCATTCTGGACGACATAGATCCAGAGGTCACAGTCTTAGAATATCTGCGAGGAATTGGTCTCACAGGAACAAAACTGTAAGCACTTATCGCAACCCCAGTTTCTTGCGGTTCTGACGATGCCAGTGGCTGTGGCGAAGGTGGTTGCGGAGCTTGCACAATCGTGGTCAGCCAGTATAACCCAACAACCAAGAAGATCTACCATGCCAGCGTCAACGCATGCCTGGCTCCTCTCGTCAGTTTAGACGGTAAACATGTCGTTACCGTTGAAGGTATCGGTAGCTCCCAGAAGCCCCACCCAACTCAGGAACGCATTGCCAAGTCCAATGGCAGCCAATGTGGTTTCTGTACTCCTGGTATTGTGATGAGCTTGTATGCTTTACTGCGAAACAACGACTCACCCTCCAAAGATGATGTTGAGGAGGCGTTTGATGGCAACCTGTGTCGATGTACTGGCTACCGTTCTATCCTAGATGCGGCTCAAACGTTCAGTGTTGATAAGCCGGGTATGAAGTTTAAGAAAGCAGGGGGTACTGGATGCTGCATGGAGAACGGCAACGGCCCGCCCAGTGGAGGTTGCTGTATGGACAAAGCAAACCTCGATGATGCACCTATCAAAAGGTTCACGCCCCCAGGATTCATCGAGTATAACCCAGACACAGAGCTTATCTTCCCACCGGCTCTCAAGAGACACGAGTTACGGCCTTTGGCGTTCGGAAACAAGAGGCGGAGATGGTATCGCCCTGTCACCGTCGAGCAACTCCTGCAGATCAAGAGTGCTCATCCTCAGGCCAAGATTATCGGTGGAAGCACAGAAACTCAGATCGAAACAAAGTTCAAGGCTTTGGGGTACCCTGTGTCAGTTTATGTTGGCGATATTGCTGAGTTGCGGCAGTACACTTTCAAGGAGGACCATCTTGAGATCGGCGGAAATGTTATTCTGACTGACCTTGAGAGTATTTGCGAGCATGCTATCCCTCACTATGGAAGGGAACGCGCACAGGTATTTGAGGCGATGCTCAAGCAGCTCAAGTTCTTCGCTGGTCGACAAATTCGAAACGTTGGTACCCCTGCGGGTAACTTGGTCACTGCATCGCCCATCTCAGATCTCAACCCCGTATTCTGGGCTGCAAATGCTGTGTTGGTGGCCAAGTCGTCCTCCAAGGAAACAGAGATCCCTGTTTCCCAGTTCTTTACAGGTTATCGAAAGACAGCACTCGCACAGGATGCGATCATTGCGTCGATACGAATTCCAGTCACTCAGAGTAAGGGCGAATACTTCAGGGCATACAAGCAGGCCAAGAGAAAGGATGACGATATCGCTATTGTCACTGGAGCTCTGCGGGTTCGCTTGGATGATGAAGGTATCGTTCAGGAAGCAGCCCTCATTTATGGTGGCATGGCTGCTATGACGGCTGCTGCCAAAACAGCCATGGAATACCTTGTTGGGAGACGGTTTGCCGACTTGGAGACTTTGGAGGGAACTATGAACGCTCTTGGTCGCGACTTTGACTTGCAATTCAGTGTTCCGGGTGGCATGGCGTCTTACCGAAAGTCTTTGGCCTTTGGATTCTTCTACCGGTTTTACCATGACATTCTGACAATCCTCGATGGAAGCTCAGAGCAGGTTGACAAGGAGGCTATTGACGAGATTGAGCGAGACTTGTCCAGTGGAGCAGTCGATGAAGACGCCGCTGCGGCTTATAAGCAGGAAGTGACTGGCAAATCTAACCCCCATCTGGCTGCTCTCAAGCAAACAACAGGCGAGGCGCAATACACCGACGATATTCCTGCCATGAAGAACGAGCTTCATGCCTGTTATGTCCTTTCGAAACGAGCACACGCCAAGATCATCTCTATTGATTACTCGGCTGCTTTGGATATTCCGGGAGTAGTGGATGTTGTTGATAAAGATGATATGCCATCCCCTGATGCCAATAAATTCGGTGCTCCTCACTTTGACGAGGTCTTTTTCGCTGAGGGCAAGGTTCTGACCGTTGGTCAGCCGATTGCCTTAGTTCTGGCGACTTCTCCTCTGCGAGCTCAGGAGGCTGCTCGAGCAGTCAAGATTGAATATGAAGATTTGCCATCCGTGCTCTCGATTGAGGATGCTATTGCAGCCGATAGCTACCACAACTTCTACCGACAAATCAAGAAGGGAGATACAGAGAAGGCTTTCAAGGAGTGTGACCACGTGTTCACTGGAACAGTGAGAATGGGCGGTCAAGAACATTTCTACCTCGAGACGAATGCTTGCTTGGTTGTCCCCAAGCCTGAGGATGGAGAGATGGAGATCTTTGCCAGTACTCAGAACGCCAACGAAACGTGAGTCTTGTTCTTGTTATTCCTGTTTTGCCAATATTGGATACTAACCCTTGTGTCAGACAAGTATTCGCTTCGCGAGTTTGCGATGTACAGTCAAATAAGGTTGTTGTTCGTGTCAAGCGACTGGGTGGCGGTTTCGGAGGAAAGGAGTCACGATCAGTGATTCTCAGCTCCATCTTGGCGCTCGCAGCAAAGAAGACCAAGAGACCAGTCCGATACATGCTGTCGCGAGAGGAAGACATGGTTACGAGCGGACAACGCCATCCTTTCCTTGGCAAGTACAAGGTCGGAGTGAACAAAGACGGCAAGATCCAAGCTTTGGATTGCGATGTCTTCAACAATGCAGGTTGGACGTTCGACCTCAGTGCAGCCGTGTGCGAGCGAGCAATGACCCATATCGATGGTTGCTACGATATTCCTAATGTGTACATTCGAGGACGCTTGTGCAAGACGAACACGATGTCTAACACTGCGTTCCGAGGATTTGGTGGACCTCAGGGCATGTTCATCGCAGAGTCGTACATGGAGGAGGTGGCTGACCGATTGGGAATGCCTGTCGAAACGCTGCGCCAGATCAACTTGTACGAGAAGGACGGCCAGACTCATTTTGGGCAAGGTCTTGGAGATTGGCATGTTCCGCTGATGTACAAGCAGGTGCAGGAAGAGACGATGTACGAAGCACGCCGACATGCCATTACCGATTTCAACCAAACGAACAAGTGGCGGAAGAGAGGTCTGGCTCTGATTCCGACCAAATTTGGTATTTCGTTCACCGCTCTATTTCTGAATCAGGCTGGCGCTCTGGTGCACATCTATCACGACGGCTCTGTCTTGGTGGCCCATGGTGGTACTGAGATGGGACAGGGCTTGTATACCAAGCTCACCCAGATTGCAGCACAAGCACTGGGTGTTCCATTGGACAATGTCTTCATATCCGAGACTTCAACCAACACAGTGGCCAACGCCTCTGCAACAGCTGCTTCGGCCTCGTCAGATCTGAACGGATACGCCATCTTCAACGCATGTGAGCAGCTGAACGAGCGATTAGCACCATATCGAAAGAAGCTGGGCCCTGAGGCGACCATGAAGGATCTTGCCCATGCTGCTTACTTCGACCGTGTCAATCTTTCTGCTCAAGGCTTCTACAAGACGCCCGAAATTGGATACGACTGGAATACTAACAAGGGCAAGATGTTCTTCTACTTCACTCAGGGAGTTGCCGCAGCTGAAGTGGAACTTGACCTGCTGACTGGAACGTGGACCTGCATACGCGCAGACATCAAGATGGATGTTGGTCAGTCTATCAACCCAGCGATCGACTATGGTCAAATCCAGGGTGCGTTCATGCAAGGTCTCGGTCTCTTCACAATGGAAGAATCGTTGTGGCTACGTAACGGTCCCATGGCCGGACATCTCTTCACACGGGGTCCTGGCGCATACAAGATTCCTGGGTTCCGAGATATCCCTCAGACTTTCAACGTGTCACTTCTCAAAGACGTGGAATGGAAAGAGCTACGTACCATTCAACGCAGTCGTGGTGTGGGTGAACCGCCATTCTTCATGGGAAGCTCGGTCTTCTTCGCTATTCGAGATGCACTCAAGGCAGCGCGCGCACAATCCGGAGTAAAGGCTACGATCGGCGATGACTCTTGTGAGGGACTTCTGCGACTCGAGAGTCCAGCGACACCTGAA